CTTTTCCGCATCAACTCTAGCTCCAGTCTTCCGCACCTTGACACTCTCACTCCGAGAGATCGGTCTTATGCCACGCGCAACTCCTGCATGGTGATTCCGCCGCCTCTTTGTACTACATCTAAGCGCTCCCTCTTCTTTGCTACCAAATATGCCTTCCTTTGGAATAATCTTCCGCCTGAAATTAGATTATCGCCCAAGTTACTGGTATTCAAGTCGAAATTACGCAACCGCAAAAACAGCAATGTCCGTACTGTACGCCATCAAGCGTGCGTTTATGGACTTTGACGAAGAAGCTTTCTCTAAGACATTTGAAACATTCGTCCGGCCGCATTTAGAGTACGGCATACAAGCTTGGAGACCGTGGGCTGTTGCGGATCAAAACTGCCTCGAAAGAGTCCAGAGGAGAGCCACGAAGATGGTTAGGGGTCACAGCTCCTTTCCTTATGCAACCCGCCTAGTAAATCTGAACCTCTTTCCTTTGAGTTACAGGCAACTTCGCGGAGATCTCTTGCAAGCCTTCCGCATTGTAAAGGGTTTGGATTGCAGTCTGGCCTTCGAAGACTTTTTTGAATTTGCTACCACGACCAACCTCCGAGTTCACCCGTTAAAACTGCGCACTCAGCAGGCACGGCTGGATGTGCGGAAGTTCTCCTTCGCGGTTCGGGTGGTCAAACCATGGAATGAGCTTCCCGCAGATGTTGTGATGTCACCATCTATACAAATTTTTAAGAAGAATATGGACATATTTATGTTCCGGAATGACCAAGAACGATGAGAATTCGAGCTCACCCCTGTAACTCCTTCTCATTTTGTCCCACTATTATGAGCGTGTTCGAACTATTTCAGCCCAGAACATCTATCTGTACACCACACATTTTTTACGTTGCAAATAGGGTACTCAAAGGCTTACGCCTATTTCCCTCAATAAACTGAACTGAACTGAACACCGGAAAGCATAAAGTTCGAGGCTCGGGTGTTCCACACTTCGGGCTTGGGTATGGCTGGCTGACGACGGCTAAGAAGCCATAAATGGCCATTTCAGTCTCCCTTATCTTTGTCGGTAATAGTATTCTGCCTATATATCATGCGCCGCTGTGCGGTTGCTGGTTGGGCTCGAGAGAGAGCCCTTAAGGCACAACGGAACGCGTGATTTCCGTATGAACGATCGGTGAGCGCCCCATAACATCATAAAGTCACTGTTAACGGTCTCATTCCCGAACACTCAGATTCTTGACTCCCAGAATTGTCCTCCTGGGATTTAGTGACACATTAAGTGGTAACTCTTAATTATATCATTAGAAACCCCAGTTTTTAATTGGTTTCTAAATCCACTGCTATCACTCCCCCATAGCGACAATTTTCGCGGTCTTTGATGTCATCTCCCGCATTCCGACCTCATGCGGTCTGTCGACGCTTACGACGGAACCCTCAGTATTCACTGTCTACTAGTAGTTCGGTCGTACCTCCCTTCCCCACTGCTCGGCTGAGCTCGGAGCGTGCTGTGGCCGATCGCATCTGGGTTCCTCTCGTCTGGCCTCTTCGACGCGGCGTACCAATCCGGCCCAGACGATCTCAATTGTGAATCCCGTATACAATGCCATATGCAAGCCAGTCCTGTCTGACCCACATTCGTACCATTCAAGGCTGACATTTATTGCTACCCTGACGATGACCGACAACATTCCGTTATATACCGCCACCTACAGGCCAGTCCTGCTCGCTTTTTTCTGTCATTATTTTTATTGAGGGGTCTTTTTTCTCCTGTAAAATTAATCCAATCATTTTAACTTTTTGTAAGGAGTTTTTTTACCCCTCAATCATCATGTTTCTCAATGGACTTCTAATTCAGAAACTATGAATTGCATTTTGTAAAGATTCGGCCTACCTCGTCTAAAACTCGCATGTTAATTTATTTTAACTTGCTTTGATGGGACCCCGACGGGTCTTGAATAAAAATTATCTATCTATCTATCTTTTTTGAATAAGATAAGGCATTTTGCAAGCCAATTCTTGGATATCGAATTTAGTCCAAAAGTCTCTGATGGTGCCAGCCACTTGAATAACACCGCAACACAACCCCAAATGCGATTAAATTTAAATAGACATCATCATTAATAAGCATAGCACAGATATGGATATCCTTTCTTTTCTTCCCTTTTCCTTTCCATCAGCTAACTCACCAGGAACTAAAAACTCCTGCTCAACTTATATTAACACAGGTTTCGATAAAGCTCTACGTGTAAGTTGTGCGTATGCCTATATTGAGACCATAATAAATCTATGTAAAACGATACTACATCATATTAAACAGTCGTCCAGTATTTGTATAATGCCATATTATCAGAAAGCAATATGATATCTGATTCAATATTATTTTAATATCTTCGATTGTGACTTGCCGCCGAATGATCCCTACTCGTGATATATATTCATATTTTCCAGCTGCTAGTCCGGAAAACGAGGGTAAGCCTTCTGGGGCACATACACCTACGATACTCTGGAACCCGGGCACACAGGACCCTGCTGTATTGTGATTTCTTCCGATTTAGGACCTGTACTCAAAGGTTCGCCGTCGTCCTTCGCCTAAAAGTTCACATAAAAATATTTGTTGGGACGGGCAAAAAATACGATTGTAACATGAAAAGATTCAAATTATTCCAACAGATCTAACGGATTCGGAGTGGAACATTGGAGGATGTGGTGTTGGAGGCCACCACTGCGGAGAGAATAGAGCCGTTCTTTATTTCCGCTAATAGGAACAAGAGGCCACGCGTCCGTTAGCCTCCGTTTCTACCTCTTTACCCTTCTTTATTTAAACAGATTGGTTATCATTCGGTTCAGTCGCTACAAGAAGAACAGATGTAAGCAATTCCCCAAATAAACTGACAACCGGCAACCGGCAGACACGCAAATGTGATCAACTTGAAGATAATTTCAACGTTAGGCCGATGTCAATTTTCTTCAAGTTAGACGAAATGCGATATACTCATGACCTTAAAACTACCTAATTTCCAACTTCAGTCCATGTATTGCTAATAGTTTGCCTTGAAACTCAGATTTTTTGAATTAAACAAACTCCAATTCGCGCTCTGTTGAGTAGGCAGAAACCCAAAAATCTAAGTCAAAATGCAGCTGAAACGGATAAGACTTCTTCAGGTTTTTTTCCTGTGTTCCAAGGAGACTGACAGTGTCGAAGTGGTGCTCTAATAAACATATGCTATTCTATTTTATTTGCGGCGGTTAAGAACTCCTCATCCGCTGTCGGTGGCTCAGAAACCTATCGAAGATGGCCTTGTCCATGCATTCACGTTTAATGTAACACTTCTCAACTTTAATAGATATTTATGTTGTTAATTTTTTAAATAAGGGCCTTACCTATAACATCGCATATGAAAGTAACTAAGAGGAAGCGCAGTGTTTTGGGAATCACAGTAACATGCAAACCACCGTTAGACAAGGATGATAATTTAACAACGAGCGGTTTACTGAACGCCTACACGTCCGAGAGTTTCCTTACCCCACAGTATATTCCTACAACAAAAGCCGTCCCAACTATGGGCTCTATTACCTTTCCTAAAATAGGCCAAGGCCCCAGCTCGGATTTCTTGTGAACAGGTGGCCCATCAGCAGCTAGATATACAACTATCCCATCTGACGACCATTGCAGAAATGGGGACGTAAATGTTCAGTCGGCTCTTACTAGCCCTAAAGGTAAATATTTACACTGCCCATGGCCGTAGCAGGTGCAAAGCTGCTTGAATTACCCAACGATGCGTTTGCTTCCGAAATGAGGTCGTGGAGGAAGGGCCTGAAATTTTTCAGCGGACTGTTCACACGAGTGTGTGTCGCTTATGAGCGAATCGTTCATTTGCTGAAGGATTCATGCACCGTTTCGCCGCGATCTGTCACCTACTGCGTCGACGGAGTACTTTCGTTGATGGAAGCCTTGTGCAATTCCAAAGCCTAAGCACTATTGTCATCGTAAGGAGACGGTGATTCAGTATCAGCTGCGCAGCTGTCAGAGGACGAATATGATAATGATGTGTCCGATCGTACCATTTGCCTCACATTTTCGTTAATATTTCTTAGAATTTTGGTGGCTTCCAGTACGACATAGCGCCGGTGGGTGCGGCTACTTACACAATTAAGCATATTGTAGAGAAAATAAAACAGTTAGGCAGAAGAATGAGAACAGAACAAAGGGACGTCAGGCAGACAACGTGCGCACATCAACATGGCAGAGCAGGAAGTGACGCCAGGGAGGCAAGAGCGCAGTCAGGCTCTGATTCTTATCGGTTAGCTAATAAGAAGTCGTAATTATCAGCCACTAATGACAGCTAATTAGTGCCCCTAAAAACGCCATCACATTACACCCGACAAACAATCAACTCCCGAGTTCGCTTTGGAGGCACAAATGCGGACCTTAGCGAGCTCGGTGAGCCCTCCCTTCCCATTAGAGACGTAAAGCAGGACTTATGAAGAATCACCTGATACGCCATTGATAAAAGGTTTATAGTTCTCAATAAATCGTATGGTTTTTCCCTTTTCTAAATTAGCTGGACAGACAACATTCCGAAGAATTGATTTGGACCATACCAATAATTTCGAAGTGCGTTGATTGGCGCAAAGAAAGGTGCAAAGAAGACTAAGCGGTTACGTGACGCGGACCAGAGTAATTAAGATAAATGACGTATGTGCAACACGTAAAAGGCATGAGAAGGCACCGGGTTATGAGTGTAGCTGAATTATGCCTGGACCCTCTGGTTTAAAAAATAGATGAGTACAGGGGTACCGCAGAATGCTCCTACGTGGAATATCATAGGATTTTAGTTCGAGGTTCTAAGACGTTTTACACACCAGTAAAATATAAGTAGCTGAATCTGAAGTGAGTACAGAAACTAGAGAAGGAATGTCCAAAAGTCATCCAAATTTTACTACGCTGAAATTCAAACGCGACAGATCACTTGCGACGCCTATTACTTTTACCTGCTATATCCGCTATGGGGGTTCGTGGGTTGTCGTCGTACGTCCGTAATGATCCCCGGAACTTTTCTCCTCTAATCCTCCATGACACGTATATTGTTGTGGACGGATTCAACCTCATCAACTACCTTTATATTAATTCACCGTTATACACCCAGTTTAATGGAGAATACTTGGCCTTTGATGTAATCGTGGAGAATTTCATCACAAACCTGCGAAAGTGTCGTGTAGAACCCATTTTCGTTTTTGATGGAGTCCACAACGTAAGCGCTTTCTGGTAAATACTTGCCTCCGTCTTCCAACTTTGCTAGCTGTTCGAGATCGATCTCGAATATAGCGTAACTCGACGCAGCTATCTGACTGGGATCGCTGTACTAACGTCGGTTTTCTGCTTTTTATGTCGCTCTGATAAATAAATGCCTAGCTCTGTTTCTGCCGACGGGCACTTAAAACTCCCCGTTTGGTGCAATATATGTTTAGAAATATGCGATACGTGACTATAGTCCCTGCGTTTCCTACTTAATGTCTCGTAATATTGTACTTCACAGCAAAAAACTTGAATTTTTCCGATTTATCTATGTTGACTCGCTCTCTTGAGACGGACTAGGCGCTAACACTGTTGTGTTTGGTGAACCCAACATATTACTGTATTGTTCTTATTTAATTTCTACATGTCGCACTTAATTCTGAGTGTGGTCTTCTTTTTCACCTTCTACTCCCATCCGCTAAGTTCGGCAACGTATTTTTGACACTTATGGTCCCATTTTTAACTGCCCTTCCGTTCTTTCCATCGCACTGAACCATAATCTGCCAATAATCAGTTTTACGCCACACTGCACTTTCTTAATCCAAAAGAGCATAAAAGTCAAACACCTCCCATAGATAATCGGCAATACTGCCTGAGCGACTGAAATGACCATATTAGGTATAAAATGTTAACTTTGCGCATGCTATATACCAACTAAAGAAGTGACCTGACGGCTAGTTTTAATATGTTTTGCCAGCATTCTCTTTGAGAGACTCCCATCGGATTTGATTCCGCAGTTCCTATTCTCTTGTAAAGAAAGTATTTTAACAGGGGCCAAAGCCTTCCTACGTTATACCAGTCCAGGTAGTAGTCGAAAGTTTGGAACGTGTTCCCGCTGTTTTCTTTGGGTAGGTGCTCCCGAAGCGTCGCGTCGCAAATACTGTACCCATTTTAATCCGAGTTTATTTCAGCCCTTACCTTCTATTTTAGATCTGTCTTAACTGGGTTTTTTTTCAGTGAACTCACTTGCTCAGATTACATGCTGTGCCTTTGGGGATGTTTTGGTATGTCCGTATTCCTGGCAGAACTGCCGGTACCAAAGTAGACATTAGCTCTAAGTTCCTACTATATTTTTAATTTTCTTCGAACTCTATTAGTTCTGTGTCGTGTCAGTACATTTGAGAATCGGGCAGCTCCATATATGAACAAGATATGTTTATGATATTACCGACAAACACAAGGGAGACTGGAATAGCCATTTCTGGCTTATTGGCGTGGGACTTCTAACCAACAGGTCACGGGATCAAGCCTCAGGTGTTCCACACTTCGGGGTTGGGCAGACTGGCTGACGACGCCTAATAAGCCCGAAGTGGCCATTTCAGTCTCCTTTGTCTTTGTCGGCAATACAGTCCTGCCTATATCCTGCCTCGCTGTGCGGCTGCTGGTTGGGCTCGAGAGAGCCCTAAGGCACAACGGGGCGGGTGAGTTACGTAAAAACGATGGATGAAGGCCCCTCTACCAATTCGTATTTATTTATATGGCTGTTATATATGACTTCAGGAAAGTAGTTGTCTTATTACGTCCGGGAATACGAGTATCCAAATCCATGTTTTCGTTGACTACTTTTCTGACGACCATAGAATGTGAACAGACAGTAGTCCATTTGCCTTGGCGTTTGAATTTGCCGATGCGACTTTTGTGTTCCCTCGTTTTTTGCCTAGAACCCTGTCAGTCTATATGCTCAGTTGTTGCCTGGGTGCTTCTATCTGGTCATCGACCAGTGGAGTGGCAGACCATACACCGGATACTGTTCCGAATTCTGTTTACCTGTTTCCTTCTATTAAAATAGAGTGTTTCGACCAAGTCGATATCGTGCTTGTCGTGCACTTCTTTTTTCGACTATCTCTACATATTATTGCCCTCTATTTACAGACCTCTAAGTTATCCACTCTCCTCAGACGGAACCGAGATCGACTTGTTACTTGCTCACAACTTCAAAAGAATGCTTCGTCCACCAAGGATGGTACATCTGCGGATTACCGCATCGCCATGCAACCTCCTGAGACTTCACTTTGCTTCGTCGCCGCACTGGCGCGCTTGGAAGTCCGTCAGTTAACTACCGACCGGGAAGCCGATCAGTTGGCTGCGTCTTTGGCCATCCACCTTGGCTGCCCTGTTGTGAGCAATGACTCCGACTTTCTCATCCTCGGTCCCTACTGGCAGCCCGTCAGTGGGTTTTCCTACGTACCAATAGATTACTTCAATTTCGAACCATGTGCTTTCCCTAATCCTGTTTGCAATGCCTGCCTCCAGAAGTCGGATTATGGACCTGGTGGCCGTTCGCCTTGTTTTTATCTCGAAGTCCAACAATTCTCACCAGAAAGTATACTTTTCAAAAACCTCTCCCCTCTGCAACGTCCGTTGTTTGCCGTTCTTTGTGGCAATGACGTTATTCCTCTCGGCTACTTTAATAACCATCTGCCGGGAGCACCGACTCAGCAGCAGGCTCGGCCTACTGGCCAAGCTGCATCAAAAATGGCCGTCCAATCCCGCAACGCCGATAAATTTCGACGTCTGATCGAGTGGTTATCTGGTTTTGGCTCAGACGTTAAACAACCTGTCGAGCGCATCCTCTCCAAATTTCCCTTGGCCCAACGACCAGAAGCTTCCCGCTTACTGCTAACCGGTTTGCGTTCCTATGCCATTGACAGCGTATCCAATTCTCCCATATTAACAGGCTACTTGGACTACTTGTTCCCACCATCTAATGGTAATCCAGTTAGCATCATATCATCTAACACTGGGCCTAATGAAGTTAATCGTCCAGTGCGCCCCCAAACCACTGTCTCTAGCAACCAGTCGGTTGGAGATGCGGCACTTTCAGCACTGACAGAGGCATCACAGGTACAAGAAGCCCCTCTGATGTTTAACTGGCCGCAGTCTTTGGTCCACGCCTTCCGTAGACGCAATTTCGCGCCGACTCTCTGTGATTCCTTGTATTCAAATGGTTATGTATTGGGTCCTGTTGTTGAGGACTATTTTAATCGAGAGGCATATCACCTATGTGCCAGCCCTATCCGTCATCTTATCTACGGTCTTCTTCTACAACTGGAAGCCTCAGCATCGCCCGGTTTGCCCTTGTCGCATCTGCCAGGTCTCCAAGGTTCCCTTCATCGACCCTATGTTAGCGAATATACCCGAGTTCACGCTTCCAGACTTGAACACCGGCGCATCGGGATAACCTTCCTGAGTTTACAGTCATCCACTTCAAACGCTGACCCACGCTATACCTTCCTTTCCGAGAATCTCGGTCTCCCTGGCAACCGCACGGACACTCCTTCCTGGATGCATGGTCTTATCTGTCTCTACTTTCTGTGGATGCGTTCTAATAAACAGTCGGAAGCTTCTCTTAGCACTTCTTCCACTGGTCTAGCACTTACGCTTTGCTCCCTGGTCACGCTTAAACTACTGGCTACATTATCCAATCGGTCGACGTTCGGCAAGATGCGCAGCTCCTTTAAGCTCCATAATAAACTTGCTAAACACTATGCTCACTGCGCGGCACTTATTACAAGCAAATATTCGCGGACGAAACCCCTGCAGTTCCACTTTTTACATGCAATCGCTCAAACGCAGGCCATCCACTACACTTTAGATAGTCTTTCAGGCCTGCTGGACGCCATGGCGGACTTACCAGGAGAGCCCAGACCCACTTGCATCGATCTCCCTCCGCCGCAGTTTTGTTTCCCTTCCGGCTACTTGGCGCATCAGCTGGCGGCACATTTTTCCCGTCTCTCGCCGGCTCTCCGCATAAAGGAGGCCGTGGACTATTGGATTCCCTGCCTTCTTGGCCAGCGTTTGGCCGGTAGTGTGGGACCAGAAACTGGCTGTGCTATACCCGAACCGACGCCCGATTTTGTTTCTGAAGTGACAGAAGCCTACAAGTTCCTAGTAAGGACAGTTGATGACATGCTTGTAACCGCACCACCACTGCGAGAACCTGCAATTCCAGCACAGCCGGCTGAAACCGAGACGATCCACAGGCATCAGAAAGCACCCAACTCACCACCGCGCCAATGTCGGAGGGTCGCTCACCATCGTGCGGTCGCAGCACCTTCACATCCCTCGCCAGCAGAAGTAGAAGCACTGGTCACAAAGGCCATGCGGGAGGCGGGCTTGACAGCCGATTAGGTTTCAGCCATTTTTGGACAGTAACCTCCGCTCTCGCGTCTTTTCGAGAAGAGCGCCTCTACTAGAGCGAGTCAAATAGCTGCCACTTTTTTCTTGTGAATATGTACATACTAGGTTTCCGTACCCTGTACCTATTTACACAGACTTATGCATAATGATCTCTCAGTATTTAGTGGAGTTCTCCCGCTTCGTCCATGCCGGGCCAGAATGTTTGTAAGGTGGGCAGTGTAAAAAAGTTTAATCTCGTGCTTGGTATAAGCGTTCTCAGTTATAAGACGCCGTCGGACATGAAAACCGGAAACTTTCTTGTGCCCGTATTTGATCTACCTGTCAACATACCGCAAATTAACCGCATATTGTGTGACCTTCCTAAGTTGCAGTAATTAGGCAACCAACTCTCATGAACTCTGGTCATTTGGGATATCAGCCACATAGGAATTAGTCAAGTTGCTGTATTTGCTGCACGCACCCCTGCCTTTGCCTAGCCGTCCCTGGGCCTTTTTATACGCAACCACCCTTGGATTTTGGTTAAGGTGATATCGGTCCCTCAGTAGAAACCGCAAAGCCCGTGCCACCGAATTTCGTAGTTGTTCTTACCAACCACAAGCAGTTGGGATTCGAACTCAGACCCAGTAACATGGGTTCTCATCTCAGTTACTACACGAGTGGATGACTTAGGAGTATTGTACCGATGAGGTAGTAGTTACCGGTAGGATAGGTTTCTAATAGCAGTTCACAACGTGACTGCCCTCTACCAACTCGTGTTAGCTAATTCCTTGAGGAAGATTTCAATTCTCCAGGTGGGAATGTGCCTTACTTCAACGCATCAAACCCGAGTTCTCAAGATGTGCGGTCCAGACCGCCCATTTCCGATGCCTTTCACCAACGAGCACGACCAGTGGCAACTTGAAATTTGATGACACCTTGGTGCTTCCGACTGAACACATGGATTGATTTCGTGTGTCTAAGGCGGTTCTCCACAGGAACTCCTGCAAAGCTGCGCACTGGTGGAGCTCCGCACTAACATGTGCGACTTCTGCATATATCTCTTTCGCCTGCGTGACTGGTTATGTCTGATGTCGCGGATAGTGCTTCTCCACTCGCGACGGTATTGAGCGGCGGTTTTAGTGAGCTCGATCTGCTGTCCTCTCCAGCGACTCAGACCGAATGCCAGAAGTCAAAATATCATGCCCTATAAGCTGTTCCGAGTCCACTTTGAGCTGATCCCTTCCCTCAGATATGCAGTTGGGTCAGATTTAGGCCGGCAGGGCTGAACGGATGACGAGTCACCTATCTTGACTGATCTGAAATATATCGTGATGCTGCGACGACGGTGGGCTGTTTCACTCGAGAACAACCAGGTATACATCAGTTGGAAAGTTGTTCTCGGAGCAACGATGATCGAGAACCTTCAGACTGGCTCGTTTACCGCATTAACTGCGTAGCAGTAACAATCGTGACTGGGGTATGACCGACCCGATCTGTGCGGATCTTTGGGAGTGAGTAAAGCATAAGCACCCTTAGAGGCTTGATGAAACCCGGGAGCACCAGCAGTCCGAGTCACGATCACGCCCCCAGTCTGTGCGCTAAACAACTCCTTTGCCTCTAGATATTTGAAACTGTAGGGTTTTTTAGGCTGGGGGACAGAAATCAGGCTATATGCCTTATGATCAAAAACATGGCATTGGTGGGTAGGCTGACCGGTAGTAAACAAATTCTGCTTACCAGTCACCTTTACCCGAGACAGTTGCCATAGTCTACTGACGGGCCGGTATCGTTAGCGCAATCAAAGTCAGTCAGTATATCTTCAGGTGACACTGCTAAAACCGTACAGGGTGCTCACCAGAATACCGCAAATGACGCGGTTGGTGACAGCAGACGACAAAATGCAAGCCTTTGAGAAGACAGGACGGGCCTCGAACGGCTGCAATGGGCCGCCCTAGAGCTGTAGTAGGCCACGATAACCCAAGAACCTGAGTCGGCACATCGTCTAGGCCAATTACCGGCTACAACGACTCACGGATGAAATTAAATGCTGCAGTCAAGCCGACAGAACGGGTGGCCGTCAATGGCTGGCATACACGACAGAGCCCGGGAATGCGCTGTAGTGGGGCGCCTGGTCGGCGAATCAATTCCCGGCTAGACTGAATTGTGTCCTGCAGATCATGACGATGGCAAAACCCAGGTGAGTCCCGATCATCCAGAATTATTTCATCTCTCCATGCCTGTTCAAGAAATTTATAAACCAAAGGGAACTACGTGTCGATACGACCCTGGCCATCCACTGCGGACGCCCACCTCATGACAGTTCGACCGTCGATTTCGACGATGTCCACCGTGTGCCCCACAGCTGCAGCAGCGGTGGGAGCAGGGACGGTGACTTACGCAGGGGATTATAGTGCCAGTAGACTTGCGTAGCATCTACCTACACTCTCTCCTCCTCCCCCGCCCACCTCATAACCAGACTTGGTGCTGCATCGGGCAGCTTCTTCATCCAAACGACGAAACTCCTCCTCTGAGGATGGACAGGTGTAGTGGTTGGTTGTGCATTGAAGATGAGAAGGCCCACAGGGTAGGTCACTCCACGGCTCGATGTCAGCCGACGTGGAAATTAAGTCGACAGGCGCCCGCAGACGGTAAAATGACCTGACACAGCCCGGTCGTTCTGGTCGCCGACACCGATTCGAATATGGCAGTCGGGAAGTTTGTTAACCAGTTCTAGCGGCTGTGAATAAAAAGATGGCAATGCTCGGAAGTTGGTGCTAGGGTGTATATGATAATGACGGGTGCGTCGGTAAAGCTCCTCTCCAGTCGCATGCACGCTAGCCAGGACCGTTTTGATAGAGGAATAGGTATGAACCTCATATATATGAACTGCGAATTGATGAGCCCCAATTTGCCGCATGCATACTACTAAGGTCACTCGTCGCTGTTGTGACGCTGCGAGGGTTTCTTTGTCCCACTATATCCAGTAAGGAATGGACAGTCGATTCTCCCTGTATCTATGGTCTGGCTCCGAACAACGCAGTTGGGGAAATCGAACGAGCCCCGTGCGAACAGCACACAGCAGGTTTTAAATTTATTCTACAAAAGATGAACGACAGCAGTACTTTCCTCCTCCTCCTCTTCCTCCGCCCCTGCGGCCCTCCGTAACACAGCCGATTTCTCTGGTTGCGGGAAGGACCTTGCTGTCCGTTTTCGCCCGCCGGGCAAGTTATGCGATAGGACTGCGGCATCGGACTCGATGCATGAGAGATTGGGCCAGTTCGCGACGAGGCTGCTATCCTCCGTCGGACGATTACTAGACTGATTCTCATCCGGCACCAGGCTTGAGAGTTCGATAACGCCGTAGGGGTCGCGTGGAGCCACAGGGGTAGACGCCTCCTCGCTACCGCTGGAAATGTCCATGTCACTTTCATCGGCAGAGAGGGGTCCCAATTCGCCCTCCTCCAGTGCTAACTCCTCTACGGGTGCATTCTCGCCACCAGGCAGGAAGGAGGCTGAGGAGAGCACGAGTGGCGCGTCTTCTGCCACTTGTTTGGCGCGCTCAAGGTCGGCCTGACGGGCGGAAGAGGCGGCCTGTCTGGCCTGTCGTTGTCGTTCCAAGCCATCTAGCACCCGATGCACCAGAGTAACGAGGGAACGAGCTCGGGAATTGGCCAGAAGGATGCACCTGGGAAAGGGACAGCAGAAGACACTTGTTAGCGCGGAAAATACACTCCTCGTTTGTCCGATAAAGCATGATCGTGCAGGCAGCTGGCACGCTGTATATAAGGTGTTACAGAACCTACCGCGAGAGACTGTCGGGTCTGATGGGAGTGCTGAGCCCGGAGGTATGGAGGCAACAGAGTTCGCCGTGTGAAGTAAGACCCACCATCACACGACCACCGGTGAGGATGGCTTCCTCGCGCTTTGTCGGGTCTTGGAGGATAATTTTAGTGTCAGAGGCCAATCCCAGGGTCACTAGAACGGGAATTCGACGAAGGAAGAGCGGCACTGGGGGACGGTGTTTACATTGTGTATCTACGATTACCTAAGACGAAGGGGAAGGCGAGTGAAAACTTGTCAAGATCACTAAGTAATGTTAAATGACCTACAGTTGGCTGCTGCTAAACGCTTCCTGTATCTTTTGTTTGCCTCTGGGTAATGGCAGTAACACGCAGACGCACAGTCGGAAAACGCAATTTTGTAGACACAACTGGCCTTGGGCAATAAGCCGATAAGCCGCCGGGCCTTGGCTTTATATCAGCTCCTTACAAAAAAACCCATCAGTTTTCGGAACTAGAAAGTTCGCGTTCGCTTTTGTTGTCCCTCTAATCAAAAAAGTCTCCACGAGGCCATGTCCCTTCAGGCCAACGTAGACGGACGGATCCGGACCGTTTTTGTAGCAGCTGGCCCTTGACACTGTTCAAACCAGATACTTAGCCGTCTCTTACAAGTTCGAAGCAGTTTTTGACGACTCTTACCGGGTGTTAGCAAGTCCCAAAGATGGGCAGACTGGTAAAATCACGATCAGGTCCAAAAGAAGCCGATTTCTCCGTTATCCCAGTTGACTGGCATTCCGAACTTAGGCTTTATTATGTAGTTCACAAGGTGTGGAAGTTATATCCTGCACAACATAATGGACACTCTGGTCCTTCTTATTGAGGTCAAGAATAGTGACCTGAGACACTGCTAATGAGCCAGAATTTGTTTTTTTTCGAATAAACAATGAAGTCAACTGTGGGTAAGTCGAGTAACCAGATGTGTGGGCCGTTTATCAAGACGGATAGTGGTGAAGTTAACTAATCAGCATGCTTCCGAACTATGGGTGGAAAACAGCAAGGGATCGGGTAGTCAGCAAGTCTATAGCAGATTGGAATTCTAAATGGAGTGGGGGGTATTGTTTCGTCCCGTGTGCGTCATAGCGTGTTTCGTGGTGGGAACTTTCTCGGCGACTGGTCTTTTCGTGCTCGGTAAGTCTGTCAAACGCCCTATGAAGACTGTGTATGATGCTGAGACCTTCAAAAACTTCTTTTATTTGGAAATTCTAGGCGGTCTCAAAGGACGCCTTCTAGCTCTGAGGCACTGGCGTCAAGTGAACGTAGGTTTCGCCAACGCAGCAGGCAGCGTGGTCCGGACATCTCAGTGGCGAGGAGGGAGTGGCCTGCACTGAGCGGCATCTGTTAAAAAAAAAACACTGTAAAACGCTCCCCGTAGCGACAAAGACAAGGGAGACTGGAATCGCCACTTTGGCATATTAGTCACAGTCAGCCAGTCATACCCAAACCTTGAAGTGTGGGACACCTGGGACCCGACACGCTTGTCGGGGGAAACACAGATTAGATATGGACATAGGATGGCGTGAAGTCGACTGCAGCGAAGGGCCGAGACTTGCCAGGACACTGACAAGCCACCTTCACGCGACTTCTCAGTAGCCCGGGGTTTGAGGACCGACTGTCCTATGTACCGGAGCATCCTACTGGTGGCTTTAGTGGTAGTCTTCACCGCAACTATCAACCAAGTCCAGATCAAAATCTCAATTGTTTTCAATCTGGGGTAGGGGATATGGGCAGAATGATATTACCGAGAAAGACAAGGGAGACTGGAATCGCCACTTTGGCTTATTAGTCGTCGTCAGCCAGTCATACCCAACCCCGAAGTGTGGGCACCTGGGGTTAGATCCCGCGACCTGTTAGTTAGAAGTCCAACGCCTCTAACCACTGAACCACGGGCTCATTGTCCTGTCGGTTGCGATCGGGAATATACAATGGCAGAGTGGCGCTCACCGAGCGTTCCTACGGAACTCACTCGTCTCATTGTGCCTTACGGGCTCTCTCTCGTGCCCAACCAGTGGCCACACAATTTGTGTGCGCGTCACCAATGATTGCCCACCCGGATGACAGGAACCCAGGGAAGTCGAGGGTTGCCGACTGCCTGGAACAAATTCCCTGGAGCCTTCATCGGTACTACCTCCAGGCGTGGCCGCATACCTATTTTCACAATCGATTGCTCATGAGGCCGTATTGACAACGATGTCATGACATAGCAAACTTTGCCTGCCATCTGATGAATCTTGCCCTGTCGTGCAGCACAATCTTGGAATCCAAAACTGGTGTGCCGGAGAATTGAATGGAGACATCCATTTTGAAAGCCAGGAGCTGCAAGAAATTATCCCTCATGGCTGCATGGCTCAACTTTGGTCAAACCTGCCGGGGACGATTGCGGCCAGCGGAAGCAATTTACTGTTTATCAACAACAACTTTCATCAAGACTTCCTCCAAGCGCACGCATGGTTTCTTGTCAGATACTAACAACCGTTCGTCCGAAGTAGCGGCGGTCAAAGTCGCTTTTGATGCAAGAATAGTAGGCAGCTTGAATCTCCGCGATACATGTTGACAATGGTAATGCTTACATGGGTGTTGATAAGGACAGTAGAAGTGATGAACACGAGTCTTGGTGGCTACTAAACAGCTAATCGTCGGGATCTCCGACGCTTTGGCTTCCCACTATGCACTGGAGTCCACTTAAACCGTTGGAGGTCAGAGGAGGCGTGAAGCACTCAAACGCCAGAACGAAGCACAGGGACCGCAATTTCAACTACCGATGACAGAGCAAAGTCGGTTTACATGGAATTGAAGGGCGGTAAACACTGGAAGTGGTAAATAACTATTTGGAGATCGCACACGTGCCTTTTTAGTCTTAAGGAGTACTTTAGATGTAATAATGGGATGGGAAATAGTCGCGACCAATCAGCCTGGAAAGGTGGCGACATAGTAATGAAATATTATTTTTTTAAATAAGAATGCATTTTACATAAGACAGCCATGATCTTAATAAATCACACAGGAGAAGCGCGACCCGTGTTTGACGTATAATGGCTATTTTTGACCGAAAATATAAAAGTGATCTGGATGAATTATGGCACGTAGGAGCTATTTAAGCGCAAGGAAAATGGGCTTCCAACAACAATTTGTGCTCTAGGCTTGTAAATAATTGACGGGCAGTAAACGGAAAACCATTGTTAAAAGCAGCGGGGGGGGGGGTAAATTCTTACCCGTCCTTCGTCGCCGACGTAGACATCAGGTCGCCTGAATGAGGCCAGTGCGACCACTGCGGCTAAGGCCCCACAGTCTCCGAGGTTCCCATCAGATGCAAGTGCACGCAGATCCACACGAATAGCGAATACGCGTTCCCAGGCAACGATGCAGAGAGCATCGAGGTCAACGCAGTCGCGGAAACAGGTTTGAAGTACTGCGGACAAACGGCGTCCCTCGTCGTCACGGCTACGCCCCTTTCGTTTCACTGAATATAAGAATGGGGAGATTTTAGTCTTCGCTTAGTGGAGTGTAAAATATAAGCAATGGCCAGGTCCAAGTTCTCGTCGTCTAAAGGCGCAAGGACGGGAAAGCAGGGCTTTTTTAAACTACTATCTTAAGAGGACTTTCGAGAATGGAGATTCTATATACAACTCGTAGTTTTTGCGCCACGTGGTACAAGATGGAATGAGAGGAGCATGTCGACATTACCAAGCGTGCTGCCATCACCACCAGCTTAGAATTCCACGTCCGGTTTTCTTATCACTATGAGGACAAAGGTTGCGAGAGCGATTAAGATGAGGAAGTGAGTCGCCGTCAGTGTGCATCATATCCGGCGGCTTATTGGTAACAAATGGATAAAAAATTTCCAGGATAAAAAAGTGAAAATGTCCAAATCCGCGTCCATTCTTAAGGTTGTGGCATTTGGATCATCGACTAAACAGTAAAATATTAATATCCCAGGTTCGGTAAGGGAAAATTGGCTCTTCTACGAACGCTGAGTTTTCCACGCGCGATGATCGCTTATGGATGGAAGAAAATTCCGCATCTTTAGCAAAATCACGTTGGGACAGACTTTTTCATCGTCCGTTAGGATGTCCGGGGTAGGAAAATACGATCACCAATGCATGTTGTACCGGAAATGGCGCTTTATACAAAGACAAAGTCTGCAAATACGTGCAGCCAACGCAACTATTATCCCCATCCGAATAAAATTTAACCTACTTAAGTATGGTGGCTGTGTTAGTTCGTTTGGCAAACCCGAATCACGTTATTTCTCCACTTTGCCGTTTCCCACCTACGGTCAAACTGCTTAAACAAACAGGGAGTCATCAGTACAAACAGGAGACAAAGAAGCGTTTTCAGAATGTAAATAACCCACAAAGGCCGATATAAATGTACTTATATACGTAATCCGAATGAAAACTGAACCGTAACTGTACAGCCAAGTGCGTAAAAGCTTCGAAGTGCATCGCAAAACGCGAACAGGATGCCAGCGACAATGACTCACGCTGATGTTTCGACCTCATGGCCGAGAAACATCTCAGCCCTGGGCAAGACATCCCTCCAAGTCAAAGTAAGACGCACGATTAAAATGAAAACGGGGATGCATATAAGAACAAATTGGAAATCACCTTCGTTAGCTGACAAAACTGTGGCGTCAAAGTTGACAAACAGCATTCCTTGGGCGGGACGGTAGTGTTTCGGTTCGACAACTTCCACTGAGACTTTAGCCAACACAGCCGTGGATCCAATTTTCACGATACAACATCCACCGTTGGCATGACCATGGGGAAAGTGAAAAGTTATTTCACGATATTCCTTCAAAGTGCGACCATCCAACCTTACTCCGGAGAGCAACATATTGGTCAATGTTGAGCACTCTGGTTCTGCCGATAACATGATGAGGGCTTATGAGACGAGAAATCCTAGTTCTTCGATGATTAATGTTGGATATTCTTCAACTACATAAAGGAGAGAATATTTCAACAAATTCTGACTAAAAAGGACATGAGACATAAATTCTTGAAGGACACGTCACTTATGGGCAAAAGCATAATGCCTAGGTATGCTGATAAATTTGATTTACAGTCTGCAGGAGGATAAGACAGGCATTACAATAAGCTGTCCTGTAAAGACGACGATGGACACATAAGAAGGCAAATGACTTGAAAATGACAGTGACTGAAACCAGACGGCCGATGGAGACGTCCTCATTTCAACCTAACGAGCGAAAATCAGATATTCTACTTCATTAATCCAGACTGAAAAATTGCCGACTATAAAAAGGACGGCCGTAGTATACGAGAAACATTAAGCTCATGAAAAAAATATGGGCAATCTTAAGTCTCCTCTCCATGGACTACTAACAGAACAGGCTCTGTTGCACAGAAGGCTTAAAACATAAATCTCCAACTAGAACGGAAGTACATGCGCCGACCAGGGAGTCGCATGGCAATTAATAGTACATGTTGAT